TTATTTTGGGTTTTTTTTTTTTTTTTTTTTTGTTGTCTCCTGCCTCTATCTATTTAATTAATAAAACTAATTATACTATTTTGTAATCTAATTATCATCAATCAATTACATATATCCCACTTGGGATTTAGTGAATCATTTACAAATCCTATATTGTGTTGTTAATGAAAATTTTGGGCCATTTGTATCTCAGCAATTTGTTTATGATCTGTGAACGATGGAGATTCATATTATTTGTCTATTTTTTTAATTCGAAATATTTGAGTATGTAATGGTCCGGTTAAGACATTGTTATATATGGGGATTTTGGATATAGACCATGTTAAATTGCAAAAGATTGCAAATTTAAAATTATTCTCCCTCAAGAATTCGACCTGTATATAAGTCAATAAGACGATCCTTTGGCAAGTAGAAAACGATCAACATATTACAAACATTTAATTAGAATATTTGTGGATATATTACTACAAAAATAATTCAATATGTTGTATATTTCATTTGCGATTTCTGAATACGAGAAAATATAGTCGGAATTTTCGGGATCTCGATATGAATTCAGATTAAACTATGTCATGGATCTTATACATTGATTTTAAATTTCCAGCACTTTAATCCTCAAATTGACTATTGAAGAGAACAATAATATGCTGGTATGTATGAATATACACTTAACCATAAGTACTCGTATATTTTATTTAGAAAATTTCATGTAAATTGAAATTCTCAGTTTTATATGGAAATATGTTGTTTTGATGACTATTTTACCCTTGCTATACATGGGAATAACATAGTTAGGATTCTTAGGAAGGGTATATTTGGAAACAAAATCAATATATATACATACATGCATGTGCTTACAGATACGAAATACTTGGGGCACGAAATCTTGGTTGTTTTGTATAGAGAAAAAAAAAAAGAAGAAGGTAAATGAAAGGAATAATGTAATCTCACTTTTATTCACTTTTGCAATACCAAAATATATACATGAGGAGGTTGCTATATCTAAGGAGATACAATCAAGAGGAAATTAATTAATTATACAAGATTATACAAGATTGCAATCAATTAGAAGAGATTTGACGCATTAACATATTACTTTCCTTTACGCCCCCACAAGTTTGGTGTCGGGTGAGACGCCAATCTTGAGTCGAAGAAGTTCAAAACGAGTCCGTGGCAGTGCCTTTGTAAGTCCATCTGCTAATTGATCCGAGGATGATACATGCGCAACACGAAGGCGGTCTGTTTGGACGAGTCCACGGATAAAGTGATAGTCGGTCAATGAAACCCCAATCTGCATCGGAGAAGGCATGGAGAGTCGTCGGAGAAGAGTGATGCAGCTGAATACCAAAGTTCTTTGTGCCGGCAATGTATCAGAAGATTCGTTTCACAGCTTTCCAATGATCCTCGGTTGGACGGTGCATGTATTGTGATAGTTTGTTGACTGCATATGCTATATCTGGCCTTGTAAGAAGTAAATATTGAAGCCCTCCTAGTGCTTGCCGATACTCTTCCGGGTTGGCGAGCTCGGAACTCGATTGTGCAGAAATGACGGTGGTGGATGCTAGAGGTGTCGGAACAGGCTTGGCGACTGTCATCTTATGTCGTGCAAGGAGATCTCCAACATATCGTTGCTGTGTGAGATGAATGCCTTGTGTGTTACGTTGAACCTCGATCCCGAGAAAGAAGTTAAGTGTGCCAAGATCCTTTAGAGAGAATCGTCGAGCTAGTGCATCAATGAACTACTGTACTTCTCGGGAGTGACTTCCGGTGATGATAATATCATCAACATATACTAGCAAGAATATGTGGACATCGTTGTGACGAAATATAAACAATGAAGAGTCGGATAAGGAGTTGACAAACCCGGACATGAGGAGGAATTGTCGGAGCTCATTGTACCAAGCTCTTGGAGCTTGTTTAAGTCCGTAGAGGGCCTTACGGAGTTTGCATACGTATGACGGTCGATCACGGTCCACAAATCCGGGGGGTTGGATCATAAAGACGTCCTCATGCAACGTCCCTTGTAAAAATGCATTATTGACGTCGATTTGCCGAAGATCCCAACCTTTAGATACGGCTATGCTTAGAATGACTCGAATGGTTGCCGGTTTGATCACGGGACTGAACGTTTCGGTATAATCGAGACCGGGACGTTGATGAAACCCTTTAGCCACGAGCCTTGCTTTGTGCCTGCCAATAGAACCATCCGAGTTTCTTTTAGTCCGAAAAACCCATTTGCAACCTACCAAGTTGTAAGAAGAATCGGGAGGAACGAGTGTCCAAGTTCCATTCCGAAGTAAGGCATTAAACTCGTCGGCCATGGCATGTCTCCATCGTGGGTCTTTGAGGGCTTGCGAGACACATGTGGGTTCTATGTCAAGGGTAGGAGATAGGGTAGTGGTAAGTGTTAGTTTTGCGGCCAGTTTGGTGATATTGTTTTTGGCTTTTGTGGTCATAGGGTGGATGTTTCTTGGTGGTGAAGGCACGGGTGATTACTTTCCTTTAGTAAACGCAGTGATTAAAATCATATTGGGATCCATATTTTTATTTCATAGATGCAAACAAACAAAAGATGTAACCATAACCATACCCTTATACATGTATGCTTCAAATTAGATACAATACAATGATATCACAATCATGTGGGCGTTATTATATATATGAAGGTTGGCCCGTAACCACTTTCCTTAACGATAATTTTTTCCGACATTATATGGATTGAACCAAACTGTTGTTGTCGCCTTTGATATTATTTCCCTCCACGAATTGCGTGTACCAAGAGGCCGAGCGTTTAGGCCGCCGGTCGGCGACATTGCTGAAATTCACGTAGTTCATCCCGAATCTGACCGAATAGCCATCCACGAACTCGTAGTTGTCTAGCAGCGACCACGCGAAGTACCCATTCACATTCGAACCGTTCCTGCAATATTTAATTTCCACAATTAAAATCGATTACTAATTAATTGAACTTTATGTTTCGGATTATTATTCGTATAAGAGTCCAATTTCATAAAATATCGGGTTTGGATTTTGGTGTTTGATTATAACTAATGAAAAATCATAAAATATCAATGCACAAAAAAAAAAAGGAAAATCCAAACCTAAAACGCTCAAATTTTTGGGTATATATCCAACCGAACTAAAACATATGTACATTAGTGGACCTAGAAAATATTGTAAATGGGGGTCAAATTTAATTTTATTGTATGATAAAAATAATTTATCATGAGGGAAACTAACAATTTTAGTAAAAATCTTATAAATTTTGCAAAGAAATTATTATTTCTATTCAAACAAATGGGGGCATATGTCCCCATTTTTATAAACGTATGTCTCCATGCATACGTATATACTATCCAAACCAAGGGCGGATTTACTTTAACAGGGGGGGTGGGGTCACAAACCCCCTTTAATTAAATAAAAATATTAATTTCTTTATGAATTTTATAAAATTATGAATAAAGTTATCAAATGTCTCCATAAAAATAAAATTTATTTTGCTCTATAAAATTATATATAAAAAATTATTGTCCTCTCCTATAATTTTTTCTAGATCCATCAAATCAACTAGAACTAGGTCTACTAATTACGTCATATAGTTAAAAAAAAAAAAGACACTTCTACGATTTGGTTTACGATTCGTATAAGCGGTTGAATTTCATAAAATATCGGTTATAACCAGTTTTCGGCTTTAACAAAAAAAATAAAAAAACCAGTTTTCGGACCAATGTTACAACTCTAAACCTAGTACGACCGAAAACTATAAACCATATCGTATACTATCGAACCCCATTTCGCATGCAATTTAATTATTCAATCAACGTGAAAGCAATCTTTCGGGTTAATCAACGACGTCTTAATTAAACAGTAATTAATTAATTAATTAATTAAATGCACAACAATGACCATTTGATTTCGGATATAATTATAACGAGGGAGGGCAAAAGGCGTACAGAATAGCGCATCGAAGGAAACAGAGATGGCTGCAATGGTAGCTGATTCGCCCGACATCGTTTAGGGTTTTTTCGATGGGGAGATTCGCTTCGTCATCATAACCTTCAAAGATAAATTTTGAATTATAAAATAGATAAAAAAAAATAGAAACAAAGAGAGCGTTTATATATTATATAATTAATGATTACCGTTCTCCGTTACGAAGACCGGTGGATTCCCGTAGTTATCTTTTATGTATTCCAATATATCTCGTAACCCGACGGGATAATAATAAAACGTAGCCGCCTGAAATTAAAAGTAAATTCATAAATTTTATCTTATATAAATAAATACACTTGACTATATGAATTTTTTATTTAAATAGTTAAACTTTCGAATTATCGGATTTCTATATCGAAATAGCTAGGGACGAGGTTGAAATATGTGATTTATGTAAAAAAAAAATCATATAATCAATATATGTGATTTACATAAAAGATGATATATATATATATGAAAACGGTTATATAACCTTTGGACCGATGGGTCTGCCGCCCCTGAAAACTGCATGAACACGAAAGAAACTTGGATTAATACATTCACACACACACAAAAAAAATAATAAGTTAATCTACATTTTAAACGTTATTTTGGAAAAATAACTTCTACTATAGTTAGTCTATGCCCTTTATTAATTAAACACAGAAGTCCAAAATACACTTACGAATTAATTATCGAAATTAAAATATAAATACTAATAAAAATGATTAAAAAAAGACGATTTTTTGAAATAACAAAATACAACTTTTTCAAATAATGCAAAAAAAAAGGTTCAAATTTTTGCAATTTTAGCGACATGCAAAATATAAGAGAATACAAACAACATTAGAAAAATATATTTATATAATATAATATATATATAAAAAAACGGAAAGTTTAATATGATATTTAGGACTCACATGTAAGATTAACCCGTGGGTCACTAATGACGCAAGGCCGGTCGGGATCAGGGTCGGGGCCATTTCGGACGTATTGAGCCACGTAGTAATTGACTCCGACGAAATCGAAGGTCCCTTTGATGGAACCGATCTCGCTTATATCGAAATGTGGCAACCTATCCCCCACCAATTCTCTCATTATCTGCGGGTAATCCCCACGAACCAGCGGCTCCATAAACCTGTCGCCGAAAATTTGAATGAGACCCGAATGTTTCAGACCGATCGGTCGACGATTTTTCAACGTTTTCTCGGTCGAGATATATCGTAGTAAGGAACTGTTTTCGTGGCGTAATTAACTGTTGGGTTTTTTGGTTTTCGCCTCTAGCGAATGAGAGAGGTATTGGTTTGTATATATCTCCAATACGGTATATATATATATATGGATAAAATATCAGAGAGATTTGTATATGTTTCAATAAGATGAAATATTGGGAGAGTGAATATATTTACCGTAAAACCCAATACTGTTTTGGTAATTTTATGTTCATTTGACAATGGTTGATCCCATAAAATTGTGTGTAATAAACTTTGTGGAAGAAAATCATAGACCCGACGTTAACACCATGCTTATTGCTTAGAGTGAAAGAAGATATTTTACCATCCGAAGAAGAAATCGATAGCTCTCTTCGTGGCGTTCACGTCGTTCTCATCCGACTCGTTGTACGGAGTGAACCATCTGTCGATCAGCGTGGTTCCGATGATACCTTGTTGCCTCGGCTGCGAAATTAAGATTTTTCAATTTTCGGAACGATCACACAACTCTATACGAATTGGAATTACAAAGAGTTTTCATTTGTGTATAGTTTAGATATTGATTAGGGTGTTTTCTGTATCTAAACTCTATACGATCGAAACCTTGTATTTTTCTCGGTACAAATTCACGGCGGCAGCATGGGCGAGGAGCTGGTGATGGGTAACGATGTAAGGTTCGGTACCGGAATTTCCACCCGTACAGTTCAAGTTTTGCCATCTCGAACATCGGCCAGGCGCGTGAGCCGCGGTTCCGTACCCTTTGTAACTCACAGTGTACGGTTGGTTCAACGTTATCCAGTGTTTGACCAAGTGTCCGAATCTTCTGAAGCACAGATCCGCGTATTCTCTATAGTCCGCACTGCATGGACGCATCTCTTTTCTTAGCACAAGGATATATCATATATATATATATATATATGTATGTATGTATATGTATAGGTTTGGATTTTTCATTATTCGAACAGATAATTTTTATTAGAATAAGAAAAATAAAATAATTACGTACATTATACGACGGTCTAAGAAGCCCCCATATTCGTCTATAAGAGCTTGAGGAGCATCCCAGTGAAAGAGCGTTACAAAAGGCGTTATATCTGTAGAAATTTGTGTGAGATTTAAATAACTATAAAGAATAATAATATATATATATATATATATATATAATATGAATGGAATAATCAAAATCCAAGAATATTCAAATAATGTTACGTTGCTGTCGGAGCCTATTTAGAAGTTTGAGGTAGTAATTTACACCATCCTCATTCACCTCCCCCTTTCCTTCTGCAATTTGTACGTAAGATTCATTAGACAGCGAGATGAAAAATGTGGGGAATTTTTTTTTTCATGATTTAATTTAAACTTTTTTTTTAAGAAATGAAAATTTTGCGTGAACAAATGATTATTTGGTCCGGAAATTAATGTAAAAAACCTTGAACTAGTTTTCTTACTTGGAAGCACTCTTGACCAAGCGATGGAGAATCTGTAAGCGTTTAAGCTCATGTTTACCATGAGGTCGACGTCGTTCTTGAAAATTAATTATATATAACATGAAAGAGGGTTAGAGCTAAATTAAAAATAAAAAATATGAAATTTAAAATTTCGTGATATATCTCCAATACATTATACAAATGGTACGAATCTGTGGCTAGATCTCCATCCCCGGATGTCTTATCTGTCACGTAAAGAAACGAAATGTATATTACGTGTACGAATAGAATCACGTGCGATTGGTTTCAATATATTCGGTTTTGCGTTACATGTACAAATTTGATATATGATATACGCTTATACGTGTGTGTGTGTATATATATATATGGGTTCGTGTGTGCGCGCGCGTTTCATTTTACATTACATTTAAATTTCTAATTTTTTTCTAAAATAATTCGATTTTTTATGGTTTAAGTTTTCTTTATTGATTGCGTGCGTGCGTGTGTATGGCGTGCGTGCATGAAACATGTGGATTTATTAGGAAAGGAAAATAATACCTGGATAGTAATGGGTGAAATGATCCCATGAGTTAAACCCTCGTCGCGCTGAACCCTCGATCTGAATAAGAAGGTTCAAAACAATCAAACATATTCACGCTAAAGTTTTTTTTTTTTTCTCTCGTTTGAATTCTTAAAATCAAATCAAAATTATCCTTTCATAATCCCTTTCGCGAGAACAAATGGAATTAAAAAAGTGTCGGGAATGTCATATATATATATATATATAGGAAAATAATTATCATATATTCATATTTTGATGCCTGATTTTTTTTTAAAAAAAAAAACTTGTCAAAATAATGTTTGGAATTATAAGCACAATACGAGCAAAAGTGAACACAATTTACGGACACATACACATACAAATACATATACATATAGGGACGATATCTCGTATTGTGTACATTATACGTACTTGGTAAGCTGACGTGGCAGTGCCGAAGAGGAAATCGTTCTTGAAGCTGCTTCCGTTGAAGAGGGACGTGTTGTCGCATTTGAGCAGGATGTCTTGGCGTCCAATGACGGTGACGCCGCATTCCTTCACGCAGCTCTCGTCCTCCCGATAACCCCCCGAGACGGAGCCCGCCATAGCAAATAGAATTCCCAATAACAACACATGATTATCATATGCCCTTTTACTATAATGTTTCACCATTTTTTTAATATATTATCACACTTTGGTTTATACTGCAATGTATTGTATGCGACATCCATATGGTGAGGATTTTATATATAGGAAAACTTCTTTCCCACTGATCCACTTGTTGTGGATATGATTGTTCAACCTAATGCGCATTTGCAGTGAAGTTTCCTTAAAGGCTAAATTACGAACAAGAAAGGAATAAAGAGATCTTGTCACCTCTTGAGCAAGTTGTAGCAATATATGAGTAATAAAAAAAAAACCCGAGACCCGACTTGGCTAGCTTAACCGGTAAGATGGGGACACAAAACGTATATCATGCCCGAGTTCGAACCTCAAGTTTGGGTGGAGAGCACACATTCTAATATTATATAGCTTGCTCCCGACTCCGGAATTAGTTTGGGTCTCGACTTAGGACACCGGTTACAAAAAAAAAAACCCGAGAAATGTTTGATTTTGAAATGGAAATAATATCAATGTCCAAAAATTTCATATGATATAATAGCAAATGAGTTTAAATATTTGTATGTCATATTTAATTTTATAAAAATGCATATAATACGATTTACTGTATCGTTTCGTCAAGAATTAATTGTTTTCGTTATTATTAATTAATCGCGGGCGTAGTTATTGCTTCTTCTTCTTTTTTTTTTTTTCATTTTGCTTTCAATATGTATCTTTATTCTCCTTAATAATGTTAGATTCGGATAATTAAGAATGGTAATGATGAGAGATGTTTGTTTGAAGGGATTAAATGTCTTCTAAGAAATGTGAATCAAAATGATTTAATTGTTCCACATTTCCCTTTCTGAATAACAGTGTGGTTTAGCAGTTTGTCTTTTTTATATCACTGTTTAGTATTTTTAATTTGCATATAATTATATAATATTTTGCTCTTCTTTTATTTTCACATGGTAGTCATATATATATATATATATATATATATATATATATATATTCACCTAAAAATTATCCTCGTTATATTTTTCCCGAAAATACTTTGAGAAAGGGTGGATATAAATGCTATTGGGGCATGAAACCCAATGATTTTTTTTAAATAATTTGTTTTTGTAAAACTCGCGTATTTTGTTAATAATTATAAAAATAAATAAATAAACTGCTCGTTCTTCAGTTTTTATTAAAAAAATACTCAGTTTTTTAAAAATATTGGTTTTTTATATTTTTTATATTTAATTCGATTAGGTTTAGAGAATTTTTGTTCTTCTCTGGGATTGATTGAGATTTATCAAAATTATAAATAATTGAGGAGTTTTCTCACGTTCATTCATGAATAATATGAAATTCTGATATAACGTTATATTATTTTTTATGGATTTAAAAGTTCAGTATAATATATATATATATATATATATATATATTTTCAAAGTTAAATATCTTATATGAGATTTTACTGTAAAAAAATCACACGCGTAAAAAAATATTTTTTCCAAGGCGAAATGCAAGCATTTTTGGACTTCCCCGTGCTCAAACAAAGCTACAAAAATGGCGATCTTTTTTTCTGCAAGAAAAGAAAAATTCTTCTTTTATGTTTGCGTTTGTTTGCTGAGACTCCTTTCGCCTTGATTCATCTACAGAGAGAATTCCGTGCCGGAATTTTTCTCGTCTTACTTTTCCCTTTTTTCTGTTTGTTTCCCGAGAAAATACGGAAAAAAAAAAAACAGAACGCACCCATCTCTCGGAACCCACCAATTCAACCTTTTTACAGAGTCAATTAGCCAAACAAAAATTCCCATGGAAAGTGACAAAGTATCCGTGATCCACCTCTGCCTGTATCATAGCTAATATCTCTCTGCACTTTATCTTTGGAAATTTTTTTATCCATAGTCCCGATTTTATCTGGTTTCCGCTTTCACGTGATTTCAATTTTTTTGCGTGGTAGATTCATTTGCTTAAATCCTAAGACTCCGCTGCTTTTCCACGCCTATATATATAGCTGCTCACATAAGATTGTTCTATATTTCCTCTTTCACGTATACTGTGTTCTCTGTGGCTGAATGTGACTGAGGCTTTTATGTCTTGAATTGCGTATGATCGTTTCTGGGTTTTGCTTTGATTGAGTAACTTTCTCTTGAATATTTTCTCTCCTTTTTCCCCGTTTTGTTAGTTTTGCAATCAATTCTGAGTTCAGGGTTTTGTGGGTTCTTGTTTATTTCACTTGAATTGCTTTACTTCCTTCCGTGGATTCTGAATCTGGGTTTGGTGATTGAGGTTTTGGTTTATGGGTTTCTGATAATTTTTTCAAGTGGGTATGGTTTAAATTTGAACTTGGCTTGCAAATTTAGCTACCTTTCTGTTCTTGAATTTGGGGAAAAAGACTATGTATTTCCTTGTCCTAAGTAAAGATAGAAGAATGAATAGGCTGTCGGCTCTGGTACTGGTCGCTCTGTTGTTCATATGTGGAGTTACTGTTGCCAAAGAGTGCACAAACTATCCTACGCAGCTCTCGTCGCATAGTTTCCGCTATGAACTCTTGAATTCGGACAACGGAACACTGAAGAACGAGATGTTTGCTCATTACCATTTGACTCCAACTGATGAGACAGCTTGGGCCAGTTTGCTCCCAAGAAAGATTTTGAGACAAGATGACGATGAATATAGTTGGACTATGATGTATAAAAACATCAAGAACCATGGAGGGGCTGGAGCCAACACCTCGGGGAACTTCCTCAAGGAAGTTTCTCTGCACGATGTTAGATTGGACCCGAATTCAATCCATTGGAGGGCACAACAGACGAATCTCGAGTATCTTTTGATGTTGGACATTGATAATTTAGTGTGGAACTTTAGAAAGACTGCTGGTCTCGATGCTCCGGGAGAGTCCTACACAGGATGGGAAAAGCCGAGCAGTGAGCTCCGTGGCCATTTCATCGGTACAAGCTCTTCCCCCTTTGATATCTTATAGCTTTTAGGTTGTATGCATAAATTTTTGGGAATTTGGTACATGGTCCAGATTGCAGAAACCGTTAAAAGCCTCTACCTTTTTTGTTCATTTTGTATATTTCAGAATCCTGGTAGTAAGGGAAATCTCAGGAATTTGATTGCATCAATTCAGGAATTTTGGGTGAGACGGTGTATAAATCTGACTGACCGTTCATTGTGACCTTGAAGGGCACTACTTGAGTGCAACGGCTTATATGTGGGCGAGCACTCGCAATGATACTCTCAAGGAGAAAATGACGTCCCTCGTCTCTGCTCTGTCCGAATGCCAACAGAAAATAGGCACAGGATATCTTTCTGCTTTTCCTACCGAGTTCTTTGACCGGTTTGAAGCCGTGCAGCCCGTCTGGGCTCCCTACTACACAATTCACAAGGTAAAAACCCAATTCACAATAAAGTCAAGATGATACAGACAACATAGTTATACCCGCAAAGGTTTCATTTTTGTCTGAATTGCAACAGATTTTGGCCGGTCTGGTGGATCAATACAAGCTTGCCGGCAGCAATCAAGCTTTGAAGATGGCTACTTGGATGGCAGATTACTTCTATGATCGTGTTCGTAACGTCATAAGAAAATACAGCATTGAACGACACTGGAAATCACTAAACGAGGAGACTGGAGGAATGAACGATATTCTTTATCAGCTATTCGGAATCACTGTGGGTGAAAAGTTCTGCAACTGTACAAATCTAAACCTTGAATTTGTGTCTTGGTTTTATTTCATATCATATCCATTCTCTCTATGCAGGGAGAATCGAAGTACTTGTTCCTCGCCCACCTCTTTGACAAGCCTTGCTTTCTTGGAGTGCTTGCTATCCAGGTTGAGTGTCACTGATAGAATACCTTATGATTTTGTTTAGATGGTCGGATAAAAGTAAACATAATTTTCCGGGTTTTGCTGGTAGGCTGATGATATATCCGGCTTCCACACAAACACGCATATTCCTATTGTAATCGGATCCCAACTTCGGTATGAAATCACTGGTGATCCACTGTATAAGGTATTGGATCTTTCCCATGCATACTGGCTGACTGCAGTTTGTCAAAGATGCCGATTCTTGTTTGTCTAAATTCCGGGTTTTGCAGGAAATATCGACGTTTTTTATGGACATTGTCAACTCTTCTCACAGCTACGCAACCGGAGGGACCTCAGTGTCTGAGTTCTGGTACTGACATTAGCAAAACTCGGAGTTTAGAGCAATCTTAAACATGCTTTTGAAGGTTCATATATCCTAATCATGCTGCATGAAATGTGAAATTAGGACTGATCCACAGCGACTGGCAAGCACTCTCCAAACTGAAAACGAGGAATCATGTACGACTTATAACATGCTCAAGGTAGTATTTTTCACTTGTAACTTCGTTTCTTCAAATGAAAGTAGCCGAAAAAAAGATCAAATATTTGCATAATTATCTTCAATTTTTTTATGAATTGCTCAAAAGGAACAACTTTGTCTCTCCAGGTATCTCGGAATCTCTTCAGGTGGACGAAAGAAGTGGTTTATGCAGACTATTACGAGCGTGCTTTAACAAATGGTGTGCTTGGAATTCAACGAGGGACAGAGCCTGGGATCATGATCTACATGCTCCCGTTGGGTCACGGTGTTTCCAAGGCCGTGTCTGGCCATGGTTGGGGAACACTGTACACATCTTTCTGGTGTTGCTATGGCACTGGTACTGACATATTTTTTTTAAGCCAGAATCACATTCATCTTTTTTTTTCCTGGATTTGGTCTGTTTTTTTAGCAGATATGATCATTCTTGTTCTGTTCACAGGGATTGAATCTTTCTCAAAACTAGGAGATTCCATATATTTTGAAGAAGAGGGGGGATCTCCCGGCCTTTATGTTGTCCAGTACATATCGAGTTCTCTCGAATGGAAATCGGTCGGTGTTTCACTAACTCAGAAAGTTAAACCAGTCGTCTCTTGGGATCCGTATCTTCGTGTGGCATTCACATTTTCTTCCAAACAGGTAACCTTCAGAAGAACCAGCGTTCATTAATTGTTCTTGTGGCTGTATAAAACCTTTGTTTCTGTGATTTTATTTTCCAGGAGACGGGCAAAAAATCAACTCTGAATCTAAGAATTCCGGTTTGGACGAATTCCGATGGCGTTAAAGCATCTTTGAATGGACAGTCTCTGGAAGTACCAGCTCCAGGTTTTAGAATAATCTGTTCGTTACTTCTATAACTACGGAAAATGTTTCTTCAAAACTCGATAAGAACAGCTAATTCCACCCGATGATCATCTTCGAGTTCTGGTTCTTACAAGATTTGGATCTTCTGACGTAGCTTCCCTTTGTAGGAAATTTCCTATCGATTACACGAAACTGGAAATCCAGCGATCAAATTAGCATGGAGTTACCATTGAGTATCAGAACCGAAGCCATAAAAGGTAGGCATTATTTCGATGCCAATACCCGCGATACCGTTTCTCTAACACATCATAACTTCTACTTTCCTTTCGTGTTTATTCAGATGACCGGCCTGAGTTCTCGTCTCTACAGGCCATACTTTACGGGCCTTATTTGCTAGCCGGTCACACTACCAAAGACTGGAGCTACAAAACTCAAGCGAAAGCCGAGAAATGGGTAACCCCGATCCCGGATTCTCAAAACAAGTACCTTGTCACCCTCACACGACAATCTGGCCACTCCATTTTCGTGTTGGCGAATACCAACCAGACCATCACGATGCAAGAATCGCCAGAGCCGGGCACACAGGAGGCTGTCCATGCCACTTTCAGGCTTGTGGACACTGATTCCGCTTCCCACGAAAAGCTCTCAGGTCCAGAGGAGCTAATCGGGAGACAAGTCATGCTCGAGCCGTTTGATTTCCCAGGCATGTTTGTGATGCAAGCAAGTAACACTACCGCCCTCTTGGTTCAAGACTCTGCCTCTTCCGACAAGGAACCTTCTGGGTTCCGCCTGGTCCCGGGACTGGACGGGAAGCAAGGAACCGTCTCGTTGGAACTACAGGGCCAGAAAGGTTGCTTTGTCTACACAGATACAAACCCTAAAACTGGCATGAAACCGAGGATTGAATGCGGTTCTGATACATCGGACGAGGGATTCAACCGGGCTGCGAGTTTTACGATGAAGAAAGGGATCTCTCAGTATCATCCGATGAGTTTTGCGATGACAGGAGCCGAGAGGAACTTTGTGTTGTCGCCATTGTTCAACTTTAGAGACGAGTATTACAATGTGTACTTTGACGTGCAGTACTTGAAGAACAACTAGTGGTGGTGGTGCTTCAGTGTTAGGAGCAGAATAAGAGAGGCTAAGTTCGGTCCTGTCATGATTTGGTTCTAGGGTTTGTGTTAGAATAAGTTTTTTTTTTATTTTTTTTTTCAGGTGCAATTGGATTAATATAAATATATTTCAAATGCATTTGAAATGATGTTAGGAAATTTGGTTATTAGAACATTCGGAGATATTAAAATTCGAATCTAAACATTTAGCATTGTAATTGGAAATTTGATGTGGTGTTGGGTGGGTGTGAATATCTGGTTTTCGGGTATCTAAAAAAATATTATGATATTGATGCCTTATGGTATCTAATTTCCGAGTATCTGAAAAATAATAGGGTATTTATAATGTGCTAACCCAAATTACGTTAAAAAAATAATAATTAATTTATCATATTTAAATAAATATTAGTGATATTTTTGTAATTTTCAAAAAAAAGATAAGACTGATTTTAATTTTGTAGAATATGTAAAGATATCTAACCTATACAAGGAAACGAAATACCCGAAGGCATAGACATTATTTCATGAAGTGAGTTTATTGGGTCATACACAATATCTTCATGTCCTTTTATTCATAACGTTTTACACAATACTACCAAAGCCAATTTCGTATGCCTTAAATCCATATGAAAGAAATTAAGATGAGATCAATGGTTAGAAATTATAAATATAATATAGTTAGATTGCAAATTATTAACAAAATAAAATATCATTCTCTCTTTCACCCAAAATAACACTATACTCTTTTAATAAAAACGTTTTTGACTTTTTTTTTTTTTAAATATACAAATTAATTGAGCAAATAACAAAGATCCAAATAATTAAATAAAAACTCGCAAAAAAAAGTACGACGTGGCGAAGACCCATTTTGCTCAATTCCAACGTTCGTCTTCCATTGCTTTGCCTTCCTTCCCGGTTCGAACAAAAAATATTTGAAAATCACAAAAAAAAAATCCAAAAACTAAAATAAAAAATTAATTAAAAAAAAGCGCTCCGAAAATTAGATCAAACAGATATGCATATACATTTCCATTCACAGACGAAGAGCTCTTCCCCTGCAATTCCGCTTCTTCTCCTTCGTTGGCCTCTCCGATGGAAGAACCGGGTTCCAGACCCGGTTCGGATCCGTTTCGGCTTCATTCTTCAGTCCGTCTCGCGCCGTTTTCGCCTGTTCAGCCGTCCTTGGCTCGCCGTCTGTCGAGTCATTTCACCGGACCTCAACGGCCTGTGGAATCGACCCGGAGGCGGAAATTGGCGTACATATCTCTCCGGGGAGAGCTCGTCAATGCCGAGGAGGCGAGCTCGGCGGCGTCCATCGGATTGAGCCCGGAGGAGGCGGTGGCGTGGGAGCTGTTCACGCCGATCCAGAGGTTCCTGATTGTGGCGGTGATTGGTGTTGCCGCCGCCAAGTCGAAGAAGAATCGGTTGATTTGGAAGCTCCAGAAAACGGTGGATCGCAGGGTTTGTATTGTTCTTTGGAATTGGGTTCTTACTCGATTTTTTGCTTTGGGTTCTAATGTATGTGTTACTCTGCTATTAGGGATTGCGGAATTCGGCTTACATTTTGATGTTTTTTTTTTTAGTTTTATTAATTATGTAGCGTTTCTTCCGTATAGTTGCATATAGCATTTGATTTAATTCATGGGTTTGTTCAATTTTGCTTTAATTTTCCGTTTCTTGTGTGGATTTTGTGGGGTTAGGTTTCAAATGGCAAGATTGTATTTTTAGGTCTTTGGATCTCTACGTTTAAGAGATGAGCAGTCGTTTCACTGAATTCTGCTTTGATTCTTCTTTTCATTTTGAAATTGTAAATTTGTAACATCTCATAGTTTGACAGATAGATTTTTTCTAAGATTCGATTTGGGAAGGTCTCTGTTCGAAATTCATCAATCCTTTTGACATTTTCTTCTGATTTTAGACGAAAATATTGAGTCTTGTTAGGAGAAAGATATCTAGAGTGTCTTAAGAAGGGTTGTTTGTTACAGAAAACAAATGTTCTGATCATATTATTGTTTGGTGAGAAATTTTGCAGGAACAGCTGGTTTCGAACATGCAGCAGAAACTCGATGAAATGAGTGAACAGCTAAATCTTGCCAAGGGTCAATCAGAAACTGGATCAAAAGCCTCAGATTGTGATGATCTACAACGAACTTTCAAAGAATCTTTTGGATCTGAGAAGATCAAATTCATTGATTGTGGCTGTTGGTTGTGTGATCAACATCATCACTTGTTACCCTGTTCACCGGTTAGTGTTCTTTGGTCTTCTCAGGCAGTGGGGTGAAATCTCGTTTGATGTCTTGTATCTTAGATTTGTTGATCTTAGTTATGGGTTTTGTACGGCTTCTTCTCATGTTGTCATCGACTTCTGCTGTTAGGATAAACCTCTTACAAAGGCATCGACTGGTCATGAGATGCTTCAGGAAACAACAGATCTTGTGACTGATACAGAGCCAGACGAAAGGCGTATGTCTGACATGTCGGATTGTTGTTCAAGTGTCACATCTGCTGCAGAAATCTATGTATGTTAGATAGAATAGATTGCAATAATGTTGGCATGCTCAAACATGACAATATTTTGGTGAATCTGTTTGGTTTTCTCGGAAAGGAGACTTCTTGTTGGATAAGTCGTGTTGGTTTCTCTTTCGGTGCAGTACAATAATCTATCCTTCGAGCAAGACATGCTTTATCTAAAAAAAGAGTGTCAAGAGAAGGATGCAACAATAAAGGAGCTTACTTTGTTTCTTCAGTCAACCAACAAGGCTGGTTCTAAGGTATGTCTTTTCCCGGAAATCCACGGATGCCCTTGAATTTAATTTATGGATAATCCAAACCCGCATTTTTGTCTTCTTTAACAGAGAGTATTAGAGCTTGAAAGCATAATACGCAGGAAGACTACGTTAATAGCACGGCTTAAGAAGGATGTAATCGTATTAGAGCAGAAGGTGAGTGATTTTTTTTTTTAAAAGGTCAAATTCGTATAACTCAACATGTTTCTGTTCCTAAGAATCCATTTTCGATTAAAGCTCGGAGTGATTGTGATCAAACGCCATTGAAAGTCATTGGCTTTGCTTCTCTGTTCTTACTATATGTCTGTTGTGAGTTGCACAGGTCAGCCAGCTAAGTAAGCTCAGGAGATCTTCTTCTTCACCCGCATTCCCAAATTCCCGAGATTGTCCAACGGTGAGAGACAATCTCCTTTACGATATGGATACTCCTTCGAGCCCTTCATCCTCTGACTTGCAGACTCCTGTAAGCACACCTCGACCAACAGCCATGAAGGTTCAATTAGTTCCTGTGAAGGGGGTTCATTCAACTTCAGAACAAACCCTTAAATCCGCGCCAGTTAAATCCTCGGGTTCCCTCGGGAATTCGATGAAGACACCACTGGTCAGTCCTGTCCAGGAAGTATCAATCAATGAGAAGCTTGTCTCTGTTTCTTCTTCTTCTTCAAGGCTAAGAAGGTCATCGTCTACTGACGCTTTAAAGAAGACTTCAAGTAAAGTTCAAGTCACTTCCAGAGATTCCTCCGGTTCACGAAAAAGATGGGTTCAGTGAGTACCGGTTTTCTTAAATTGTTGGTTTGGTAAATATTGCTTTTTCCTTCTAACCAAAATTGTCTCGTACACATGAAAATAGCAAATAAGAATTAAATTATAAAACTGTATTATTAAAATTAAAGAAAAAATCAAGTGGGAATTCAAGCTTATGATTTCAATTTTAATCTGTTTGGTGTTTTATACTTGTTCTAAAATCCTTAACTGTTTATACCAATTTTCTTGGTCTTGATCATTCGGTTTTATATGGTCATGAGTCTTGACCGAATTGATCGGTCCAATTCCGGTCTTGGTTTTATCCGGTTTTCTTTTCGGTTTACTTCTCTCATGACCGAATGTGAAGACTACTCCGTTTCGGCCGGTTTGGTTTCCTGACACGTTTGCTACCAAATGGTGGATAATTAATTAATGTAAGATAAATCATATGATTTAATTCAATCATTTCCTAATTAAAAGTACAAATTGATAATTTGATTACGCCTTAAATACATAGAGATAAGGCATGTTACGATAACATCTATACATACACATGGATATGTCATATGAGTCATGACATCTTTTTTGGACATCACATTGACTTCTTCATCTGCACCTCGTAAATTTGACTTTCGCATTTTGGACAAATTTAGATTAGTGATCGGTCTCAATTAATATTAGTTTTGATTATTCAATCTAATTCATTTATAATTAATTGGAAATTTTTAATAATTACTGTATTTTATAAAATTTTCTAAAAATGTGAAATTTTGAATTTCCTCACATTAGAATAATGAATATCTCTGTTTTCAATATTAAACATTAGCTTTCAAAATTGTCCTATTATTTGTGTTAACGTCGTTCAACAAAAAAAATAAATATAGTCGAAAACGATCTCAAACACCAATGTTGTATATCAGAAAAATGACAAGATTGTCATGTCATTACAAACTAATTACAAAGTTAGAAAAAAGGAAAAATAATCAACTCATAAAGACATAAACAAAAATACGTATCCATATATTGATACATATATACATTAAAAGCGCAATTATATACATATCCATATATGATATATCTATGTAGTATAGTTTGCAAATGTATAATTTCTTTTGACGCACTTTACAAATCATTTCTTCTTGACATAATTTTAAAAAATCGCTTTCTATTACGAAAATTTTGTATAAATATACCAATTCATTAAAATGTTATAAAAACACATGAATTTTTAAATTCAAAGAAAAATACACAATTGATCAAATACTGTCAATTTCTTACTTATTGATGTTAATTCTACGAGTCCGAATACTAAAATAGCCACCAGTAGGGGTGACCATTTCGTTTATTAACCGAATAACCGAGCCGAACCGAACCGAATAAGACATAACCGTATCCGAACCGAATCCGACATCAAAACCGAACGGTTATGATTTCTTTAAACTTGAAAAACCGAAACCGAAACTGAATTGAACTGAATAAAAAATAACCGAAAAAACCGAGAGAATAACCGATAATTTCTTTGGAAAATTGAACTTTTTACCAAAACCGAACTGAATCCGAACCGAAAAATAACCGAACCGAACCGAACCAGAATTTATATAAAAACCGAATGGTTATAATTTTTCTATAACAGAAATAACTGAACACGAATATAACCGAATCGAACCCGAACCGAAACCCGAATTGGTCACCCCTAGCCACTAGATTAATATTTATACGTAGTAAATTGTTATCGTTTCAATTAATTCGTGTATTTTAAATTTTTTAATATTTATATATATTTGTAATATTTTAATAATTAATGATTTTTTAAGATTCGTTCTTTTTTTAGCTCACGCGCAGTGCGTGTGGATGGCACGAATCACGCACGTGTGGAGGGAAGGTCGCCGTTTTTTCCATTGGTGGAGGAATCTTTGGGCTTTGGTGGTGGGCCCTATCTTTTGTTTGACTTTTATTTTGTTTTCTTTTCTTATTTTTAATTTCCAAGACGGCGGCTCCAAAGTGCAATCACGAGGATACTTCACAAAATATCTCGTACTCGTGCTTTTTTTTTTTTTGACTTTTCGGTATCTTTATAATTTATATTTTAAAAATTAGTTTTTTTTTATGCATCAATTCACAAATTCTATTGGTTTGGACTTTCTGCACACATTTTTAAGTTTTTGTAAATATTTTTATGATTTACATGTAAATCCGTAAAAGAGTTTACTATAGTCTTTGGATTACAATAGAGTTTACTTTTAAATATTGTGGCAGGTAATTTGGTGCTTGTAATAATCTACCAAATTCGAGTACTTTTGATTTGTGAGCTAAGATCGAATATATAAATAGCTTGAATTAGAATTCAAATTTGCAAGCCGAATTTATCTACAGTTTCCGATTGTTTTATGGTTGGATGAGATACTTATAAAAGTATCCTATCTATTTATTAAAAACTTCTCTTAACTTTTAAAATTATACAAATGAGAATGATACTTATTAAAAATTATATATATAGACCCAACAGATCGTGGGCGAGTGGTCAAATTTGGAGTATGAGGTAACTACACCTTTAGGTTGAGTGTTCGATTCCTAACTGGTGGGGAGGGAGGTAATTTTTGGGTTTATATGATCTATATACAAAAGTTGCTCCCGCGCCGAAGATTTACCTAATTAGCGCGTTCGAATGATAGCAGATAGGGATCCTCCGTTATCAAAAACAAAAAAAATTATATATATAGTCTGATGTCTACGTGATACCTATTACTATTTGGTGGGGTTTTCTGTCGTTAGATATAGTTTCATTATAACCTTGAATTTTAGGCCGTGATTATTTGATTTATAATATTATAGATACTCGGGTTTGTGGACTTGGTTCGATTTTCTTTTTTAAAATTAATTTCTTCCGATGACTTGGTTCTAATAAGACATCGAATGTAATTGTCATATTACATCACTGTCTACGAAATATGAAAACAAGGAAACAGCCTGTCACGTACGGCTTTTGTTTGGTCTCGAAAGATTCCGTGTATCTATAATCAACAGCTTCCTAATAACTCCACAAAATCTCTCTCTCTCTCTCTCTCTCTCTGTGTCTCTCAAGAATCTCTCCCTCTCCCTCTCTCTCTCTCTCTCCATCTCTCTCTCTCTCTCATGTGAAAAAACGAACCTAGACGATGCCCATGGACCGCACCCAGCAACCCGACCCGGCAACCCGATCCAAAACTGCAGCCGTTCTATCCATAGAATGTCTGAAAGGAAGCTCCAAAGCCGACGAATGGACAGGGGACATGCTCCAAACGGGCGACATAGTCGAAGAGATCCGGATCGGGTCTGGACCCGGATCCGCCCTTTTCAAAGCTCCGTTCAGAGGAGGCAGATCTTGGGTCCAGAAGGTTCTTCACAACTCATTCAAGAACAAGGAGACATGGATCACGGTTCGGGTCAGGCGTGGATCCGAAGACTTCTCGGATCTCCAAGCTTGTATCGTTCCCAACGAGTCCGGCGGCAAGAAACAGTACATGTTGAGATCCATCGACGACCCGAATTACGCTGTCGGGTTCTCGGACCGGTCTGAGTCGGAGTGCCTCGAGTTGCAAGGTGAGTCGACTCGGATGATGAGTTGGGTTGGGTTGACTAGACTTTTCGAACTTTTTTGTTTTATCGTTTTTCTCTGTCTCGTGATTGGGTCTAAACCAATGGTACATGTTCTATTATAAAAATGATAACACTTTGTCCAAGTATATATATTTATATATATATGGATGATATGGGTGTTGAAATGTAGAGAAAAATAGAATAACTTAAATTTCTATTTGTTCTTAGGATAATATATTTTAGGCCTGTCATCATTATAGATTTTTTTTTTGCGAAATTAATATGCCTTATTCCCGGGTTTATATCAGAAAATGGAGTTTGATTTGTTTACAATGCACCTATTGATTTTTTGTTTGGTCTATGGTTTTCTATATAGAATTTGTTGAATATTGTTGAAATGACTTTTAAACGGTTAATACGCAGGAAATTATAAGTATTTTTTTTAGAGTTTTTTTACAAATATTGAGAAACGATGCAAAATTTATAAAATATATTGAATTAATATACTCTTTTGTTTGACGATAAATTGTGTTATATTAAAATGGATTTTATTATAAACGTTGTATTAAAATTATAAAAAAAAACGGCCTTTACAACAAAAATAAAATAAAATAAAACAACGATTACAGTCTTAATTATTTAAACTAGTAGATAGCCTTTGTGTGTATATCACAAATAAAACCAAATTAATATCATCTATTTTTTTGTGGCTTCCGTAATATTTTTTTCCCCATATCTGTCATTTGGATATGCAAGCATATATCACACAGAAAACAAACATTTAATTTAAAAAAAAAAACAAATCAGTTCGTGAAAAAAATTTCGAATGGAACCACAAAATTAAATCTCATACGATATTTGTGGCAAATGATGTGCAGCTTCAAGAGCGTTGAGAATGGTGAAAGCATTGTCAAGGACAAAGCTCCAAGACGGGTTCGTCTCTTATCCATGGGAGAGGCAAATGCTGGAGGCATTACCAGTCCCCGGCTCCAGCAGTTTCCTCTCCATCCTCCTCCTCCCTAAAGCTTCTGGTAACATTTACATATATATATACACACGACATTACAAGATCGTATTATTGTTGTAACTAAACCATCTTTTGTTTGGATTTAAAAAAAAAAAGGTTCTGGAAGGACGTTTTCGCGGTACAATGACTTGGAAGACACGCTTGCTCGGGCGAATGCGTGGCTTAGCCGCTCGCAAGCGGCCGGGGTCCCCATCGTCTTCATGAACATCCAGACCGAATCTTTGCTTACCAAGGTGATCAGTCCTGCCCGTTTGGATGTCGTGTGCCATGTTCGAATGATGTGTTTTTTAAGTTATGAAGATTTAAGGGTTTCAATGCAATAACTTTTATGGTTTTTAACGTAACATAAACTACAAAACTTGTTTGGATCCATTTTAAATTGTGGATTATTTTTAAAAACACAACTAGAATTCGTTTTCTCTCATTTCTCCCGTTATTGTTATCCGTTTTTTTTTTCTGGTGAAAAACAAATGTTATAGTGTCTTTCTTTATATATTTAATTAGAATATAAAATTTAACAATAGAGAAATTAAATTTTTTTATTCACAACTAGAATTCGTTTTCTCTCATTTCTCCCATTAATCACTACATAATGTATATATATATGTATGTGTGTATTCGGCAGTATTTTACATGATATTTTTTTTGTCATGGGTGAATACTATACTTGTATTAGATTTCGGGAGAAATGGCGTCAGCGTCAGTGAACACGACGTCCCTAAGCGATCTGTCGAATCTGGCGAACGTGAGCCTCTACGGGTTCGAGGACTACCACGGCGTCGACATCGGCGTGGTCAGAGCTGTTCGCCTCTGGTACGCTCCTCTCGCCGGCGAGCTTCCCGTTGAGATTAAACTCAGAGACGACGACACCAAGCTCGGCTTCTCCATTAGCCGAACCGAAGAGGTGACACTGATTTATCCGTACAATATCCTTCGACATTGTCTCATTCTTACACACCATAAACCCAAACCCAGAACTGTGTAGAGGTTTACCTAGGGTTATATGTGACCTCGGGCATTCAACAACGGTGAACCAGTCTCGATTTCTTGGCCCTCGAGCAACAAGTATAGTGAATCCCCCCTTTTATGCATGAAGTAATTCCCCCTTTTCTTCCACAGGGCTTCATATACATCTCCTCGGTCACGGAAAGTGACGACGACGACGATGACAGTGTTCCGGCGGTGCGTTCAGGCCTAACCGCGCTGTACAACGAAGCCGCGACCGCGTCGAAACGCCTGATCGTGTCTCGTGTCTCCAACCAGAAGGTCCTTCCGTGGATGGTCTCCTCCACTGGTGCCATACGTTGCTACGACACAATCTCCATCAGCCAAAAACTGTCCCTTCACCGGCACGCAAAGGTCCCCATTGTCCTCCACGTGTTGCTCTGGGATTCCTCGTCGGCGTCTTCCCACGTGGCGTCCCCTCCTATCGGGAACTATGGGTCCCACCGGTTCTCCGAAGAGATGGGACCCACGGAGTACCCGGGTGACGTGAGGTTGTTCCGACAGCCCGGCGACAGTCAGGTGGTGCCGCTTCCGTTACCGTCGGAGGATTGTGTCGAGATGAGTGTTCGGTCTGAACGTGACGCGGTCGGTGAACGTTCGTTTCGGTTCCAGGAGCTCCCGTTTTCAGACAAATGGGTATGAGATTTCTTGACATGTAACTTGTTTTTTTAAAATATAAAAAAAAACCCCTTTTTGATAATGTTTTGGCATATGTAGATAAAATTATTATAAGAAAGCAAAATTGGTGCTGATGTTGTTTGTAAATTGTATCTGTACATATATACGTCCGATTTGGTATTTATGAGTGTGGTATGTATAGGTAAGATGTAGCCGTTTCATTTCATTTTCTTTTTCACAATCGATCGATGAGGTCCAATACAAAAATTCGACAAAATACTGAAATTCTAAATATAAAATTGGATGAAAGAAATTCATGTTTACATTTCTTACTCCCAATTCAAATCCAATCGTGGAGATATATGTTTAGTTAAATAAAAATTTATCTTGACAATGGATGAAAGTCAGAAATTATTAAAAAAAATTGTATGTGAATATCTAATTATATATATCTATATATTTGTGTGTGCACGCGTAACAGTTTATTTTTAAAAATTTTGTTGGCGTGAACTGCTGACGTGGCATATTTGTACATGCGAAGGTGATTTGGCGTTAATAGATGTGAAAGATACGCCACATTGGTTTTCCACGTCGGAGATAACGATCTTTATAGTTAACGGAAACATGACAATTTTAACAAAATTCGTTTATTTATTTTGGAACCGAGAAAGTTCATATATTTATATATAATATTTGTCAAAATTCATGAATTTTTGGCGACACTCTTTTTTTTTTTAAAAACAAAAGTATAATACACTCAATATTTATATATATATATATATATTCATATTTAATAACTATAATAAAAATACCAAAATAATTCATCTAAAAATTTCAGCAATTGAGGCCAATTAAATTCTCTAAACATGAAAAAATATAATGGAAAACTTGAAATTTAAATAATCATTAAGATATAATAACGTTAATGAGTCGGGGCATTATCAAAAATACCCTTAATTTGCTATTTCTACTTCAAGACATACCCTTGTGACCATGTGACCAATGTGACCGAAATATAGTGTGGTCATATATTGATCCAATTGTTCATAACGTTAAATTTATGATGTTTTAATCAAATGATTAGTAAGATATACAAGGTATGAACATAATGAATTAGTGTGATCACCATAAATTTAACGTTATAATCGATAAAAATCAAAATGTGACCATACTATATTTCGGTCACATTGGTCACATGTGACCAGGATAGATCTTGAAGTAGAAATAGCAAATTAAGGGTATTTTTTATATAATGCCTAATCGGTATGTGTATTAGGGCTGGAAATAGTATTTAGTTTTTAACAAAATATCTTATGTTGAGAAGCATGATCTTGGGCCCAATGGGTCTTATTTTGTTTGTTTTTCTGATTTGACAAAAAGAAAGTGCCATGATCGCAAAATGGCGGGAAAATTGAGACTGCTACCACGCCATCTCATCTTCCGCGCGAAAAATCCCCCAAATCCTCTCTTCGTGACGAAACGATGGAGAAGTACTTAGCTCCATCGGAATCGTTGCCGGGAAATCCTATACCTAAGTTCAGGTACTTCGACCAATTTTGGTTGTCTATTTGTTCTTTTGGTAAACAAATTGCAATCTGTATTGTGTAATTGTCTTTTGCTTGTTGGAATTTGAGGGAATTGTGTGTGTGAATTGTAACGGTTGTTGATTCTTTGAAGGAGATTTTGGAAGAGATCTTCAATTGAATTGAACGGTCGATTTGATCCAGATTACCGACACGAACTGTACTGTCTGCTCGCTCATTCGTACTCCGAGGTTTTATTTTTCAAACATGTTTTCTTTTTTTTGGGGGTACTTTGAGATTAAATCTTCTATGAATCGATATTTCCCCTCTTATATGTTGAAGATTGGAGTTTTTCCGCATTTATATCACGTGAACGAGGAGCCATGTCAAACCCATGTACGAAATTTTCTGGAACTAAAATTCTCAGTTTCTCAGTGATTAGATTCTCTCTCTCTCTCTTTGGAGCTTCGTTGATGACTTAGAACTTGTTTTGCAGATCTCAGAGGTCCAGAATCATGCTCGTTTCTGGTACATATTAGTCTCTTTTTGCTGTATTTACACTATTCAGCTGTTTTCACATTTTGGGAACCTTTTCTTTCAGTTTTGAATTGTGTTGACTTTGATCTTATGTGGTTATCTGTTTTTTGATTGATTAATACATATTAAGTAACATGATTTTTTCAATTAACTCGGACGTTTATTTCACGATTCCAGGGGAGGAGTTGCCGGGCTTGAGTTTGACAGACAAGTGAGTTTTGTGCCATTTGTTTGCTTTTGCTCCCTGGAGGACCTTCTTTGATTGTGGTCTTCGGAGTTACAGCTTCCGTTCTTAGTATAATGTTACCTTTTCTGATTCATGTTGTTACCTTTGAAGGGTTTGTCGATTAGAGGATATGATACATATATTTGTTCCTGGATGATCGAATGTCTCAAGTCATATGTGTTTTTTGCCATGTGTTTCTGTTTCGCCTTTGTATGGAATTTAATTTTTAACCTTCTAAATCCATGGGTTTGTTTTCAGGGGATATACTTAGTGTCTGTTACAAGATCAAGATGCTTGACCGTGCATGACTTCGAGAGTTTATATTGCCAGACTAAGGTTTATCCAGGTGAAGCTTCGAACTGAGCTCACCTAAGAAGATTTCATCTGAATCTATGCATGTTAATTCTAGTCCAGTTTCATGAAAATGTGGTAGTAATGTTAACCTAGTATGTATATATGGTGGGATAATGCACATCACTGTAGAAATTCAGTGTACGCACAACTGTGGTAGCTCTGAGCAGTTCTTTTCTGATAGATATTTTTATGGACTTTCTCTGTTCTTTTTTTTTCGTCACTCTATGGTTCTGCATGCATTGTGCACGAGAGATGAATAGTAATGTATAGAATCTGAAGGGTTATTAGTTGTTTCGCCGCTGCTTGAGGAGACCGACATATCCATGACCTTATTTGAGGAACACCTCGAGAGAATAGAAAACCAAAATCAAAACCAACATGTATAGAAGTAGAAAACTCCAAACATAGGATAAAGACCGTAGAAACCCAAAGACTACGAAGCCTCAGCCTTCTTGGCCTCATCTCTTCTTCTACACATCTCCTAGTATAAATCAAACGTTTTGGGATCTTATCATCATGTTTTCAATTCTCTGATTCTGCTTTGTGGGTGATTTCAATCATATCATTTTTTTATATTATGAATGATGTTGTTGGATCATATGTAAACTGATCTTTTGCTCATTTTATACATCTTCTATGATTTTTTTTTTGGATAACAGAGTTTTTTGTTCCCTCTACAAGGTTTTATTTGCCTAGTAATTTGTGATCGTATGTTCTGCAATATATTGAGTCTGGAATTACAGGTTCTGCGGAAGATGAAAATAAGCATGTTGTGCATTTCTCTATGCCTCTAAACCAGGAATTTGACGTTGTTAGGTGGAATCCTGGAAACCAAAATGAGGTAATTAGCTCCAAGCAAGTACTGAAATAACTTTGCTTTATCAGACAACAACGTTGGTCAAGAAACTGTTGCATAGTTCTCCTAGAAAAGTAATGATTTTCTCCATCAGTTTTATTGGAATGCTCATAGAACCTTAAATTGTTCTCAAGAATCTGATTTTAGTTTTAAAATGTGCTTTGCTTTTATGATATTTGGAAATATGTTTCTCAGTAACTACTTGTGTTTCTTCTAGGTGGCCTGTACATCAATAAAACGTTCCAAAGTGCTTATATTTGATATCAGTTATATATCTCCTGAACCAGTTGAGGTAAGATTTTCATGATTCTTACACAGTTACACCTAATATGGTTGGTCTCCGCATTTGAAAAATCTGAATTCTGTTTTCACATGGATTTTAGCTGGCACATGTACGGGTTTCCATCTCCTAAAGAGCTCCTCTAACTGATTAGGCTGCTTTGTTCATATTCAGGATCAGGTTGTGATTTTATAAGATGGAAATAGAGAAGGCACATGGTTTCTGCATGTTCATTCTTAGAAATAATAACCTGAACTGAAATGATATAATAAAGTGGCGAATATTATGTATAACATTTGTACATTCTTTAAATAATTTCACCAGCGAAATGATGACTTCCGCTGATATAAAATTTTTTATGAATGTAATGCAGGAACTGCATACAAGAGCAAAGCTCTCTGTTGTTGGTCGCAAGATACCTAGAGGTTTATGTGATTTAGCCATTACTAAGGATGACAACACAAGGTGTGCATGAAATGGGAAATGTTAGTGCCAATAGTTTTTCTTTTATAACTTCTCTTTGAAAAATGTTTCTTGGTTCTTGATGCAGAGTAATTTCTCCTGACACACTCGGTTTAGTTAATGTATGGGATAGAAGAGTAGGTGGTCTTCCGCGCATTGAACTTTCAACGGTTGGATATGATACCATCAATAGTGTCCAGATAAATGTGGAAAATCAGGTAATCTTGAAACTACTACATTCAGGTACTATAAAGTTCTTTTAATCCATTGAAAAATGTAAAGAGAGTTTGTTCTCAAAAGTTGGCTCAAAGTTTTCGGGTTTCAATTTTTGGTTTAGGTTTTCTCTTTTTTTATTATATGGCGACTATCTAGTTCATTATAATCTTCTTGTAGACAATCTTTGGTGCTGGCAAAGAAGGAATCATCCATATATGGGATCTCCGTGGTGGAAGAACCTCTACTGCTTTCCAAGCCCATAAGGAGGTGAGAACATGTCGTACATATTCTTATGACGAGAGTGTATTAGATCTGCAACCGCATGATATTTCAAACTGACAACTTCAGCTGTTGTGTTTTTCTGCTTGGCTGAACATGTAGTAATAAACTTTATACTTCTCTTTTGCAACTGTTAAATGAAGCTTTGTTAAGCAATGGTGTTCAGCTCCAGACAATTTTGACATGATCTTACGTATGCTGATATCGGTATTTCTCAGGTGCACCTTTTTCCCCTAGCATCAATACACCTTGCAACAGAGCTGCAGAAGATTAGATCTCTAAGGGTAACTTCTATCTTTTGATTGCCATCTCACTGAGCCACTCATGAACTTGTTTGTGGACACTTTTGAGATCATGAGGTTTATCTTGTGATTTTCTTTCGACAATATTTTCTGTGTGAATGTAATTCCAGTGGTTTTACAATGTCGATCTCCATATCTCTAGTCTCTTTTTCTCTCTCTCTCTTGTAGTTCTAGTTATAGTGAAATGATATTGAACAACCTTCATCATTAGGTGCTTAAAGCTTCTCATCCCGACTTTTTATTATTCGCAGGAACAATCACAAATCGTCCCCAAGGAAATCCACTCCATCGATCTCAACCCATCTTGTCCTAGTCAACTGGCTTTTCACCTTAACGATGGATGGTATGTCAATGTCTTACATAATTATGTCTGGATCTCTAACTTTGTCTTCTTATGGATCGAGAGTTTTTGCGGCTTTATGTTATCGATACAGAGCTATTCCTTATTTTTGTTAATGTTTTTTAGATTGTAAGCTTATCTGCCCTACCTTCTTTTGATGGGCTCTTCTAATGCAGGTCAGGTGTTCTGGACATTTATAGGTCCAAAGTTACTCATGTCCATTGCCCTCCTCCGGCTTGGTTGTAAGTGAAACAACTCTCAACTCTCAAGTTTACAGTCTAATGAACAGGAAGCATTTGAAATTAAATAACAAGTGTTCTAAATGCAGCAAAGAGTATCATTTAAGATGTAACGTTACATTTTTTGTATCACAGGGATGGTTCCAACACTCCAACTGATACAATCTTGCGAAAACCGTCATGGCTGCCAACATCATCAGTAGGGAACCTACACTACCCTCGATGGTTGCAAGGACTCTCTGAACATCATGAAAGGATTGACATTACGTATACCTATTTCTGATGCAGATGTACGTAGTTGGATCGATGGTTGAGAAAGGGATTCATATTCTTGATTTTCATCCGAACTCCAGCTCTCCCTGCCACGTTGACTATGACGAGTAAGACTTTCTTTGAACTTCTCATATATATATTCTCTTCTCTTACATCCCTCTCCAACTCGACAACATTCCAACTTAAATTGTTATATTGCAGAGAGGATTTTCAGAGAAAGGAGAAGACGAGACAGCAATATAAGCGTATAAATAGGTTTCTTCCTCTATCGGAGAGTGTCACAGTGTGTGCTGCTCATCCTCTCAACAGCATGATCGTAGCTGGAACCAAGGTATGCCATTTCAATTATCATTGGCCATACCTGATGACTGTAAACCCAAAAAGAACTGACTACTAAAGTAGATGGAGACGTAGTAAACCAGTTGTGTAATGGATGTGAATAGATTTTGGATCATAAGTGTGTCTTAATGGAAAACGCGGATATGATGCAGAGATCATCGTTGCTGTTGGTTGCTCAGAAGCATGGCTTGTCAAGATCAGAATCCTGAAGCCCAAGTAGTAGAATCCAATCTTTAGGCATATCGAAATGCTGAAGAATGCATCACGCAGATCATATATATATATATATATATATATCAACACAGTAAGGTAACATGTTTTGTTAAAATCTCCATTGGACAAATTGACCTCATAGGAACAAGATCTCTGAAATTTTAGATCAACTTCATGTGCCCAAAAGGCCCTTATCCGATTAGTTTTATTAATATGAAAGCAGCTCTGTTGTGGACCGTTGAACGTGTACCTGAACTGTTCAACAGATTCCAACATTATATTCATGTCGTGTAATGATAACGACTTTTCTAGGGTTTACGACCCCCGTCACGTTTCTCTTGACCAAAGGAGAGGAATGTGAAAGCCCGTTGACTTTTTTAGTTGTTAAGCACTTGGAATTATCCACAAACAACCACCTTCAAATACAACAAAAACCTTTGGCACGCCATGGATGGATCTTCACTCACTCTACAGAATATCGCAATTCAAACAATAACTTGAAAAAAAAAATGAAATAAATAAATAAAACACAAAAAAAGGGTGCGATTTCAGCCCCTTAATCAATACTCCATCCTCGTTTCTTCACGTAATAAGGACATGCATTGCCAATCATGAACTGCTCCGGACAGAGACCGAAGTCACCACAGTTCAAGAGCGACAAATATCCGAACTTAGACAATGATGCCTTCTCCTCGAAGCAAGCTTCACAGGAACCACCACCATGGCTGAGAGGGAGGAGGTGGATACACCGTTCCATAGTTGTTACCTCCGGGAGAATTCTTATGGCGTGGAGGAGGGGGAGATTTCCGGTAGTAATAAGCTTTATACATTGGAGGAGAAGGATCAGAATCGGGTGGAGGAGGAGGATATACGGGAGAAGGTGGAGGAAGAAGAGGAGGAGAATACAAAGGCCGAGCATAGTCGGGGGTCGGTAGGAGCTTCCGGCCGCTTTGTGCGTCAGCGGTAGCGATCGCGGCCGCGAGGAGGAAACATATGATGAAGGAAATAGCTTTGAAAGCCATTTTTTTTTGTGAAGAGATGAGTTTTTTTTCTGTGGTCTTCATTTGTGGAGCTTCATGAACGCGTATTTATGGTGCTCAAAAAGTTTATATTAGAGGGTTCCCACTAAGTACAGATTGTTATGGAAGATGGTTTTTGTTTAATGATTAATGGGACGGCTTGTTTGGGAATTTTATATTCTTATATTCGCTTATTTGGCAATGAGGCCTCCCTCTAAGTACGAATTTTTCTCATCAAAGTGAAACAGTTCATGGTTTTTTTTTTTTTTAAAAACTGCAACTTAAACACCGCAGCCTTTTTCAAGCAACCATTTGGTATGCTTGTAAAATGTAAAAATCCATTTTGCCTATCTCTGATTATCCGACCGTCACTTGAGTCCTAAACCCTTAAGGTTGTGTTCGTGGTAAATATATATATATACACACACACGGTGGTAAAACCCAAACAAACCAAACAGTATAGCGGAAAATTCTTGAATCTAACGTTTTGTATCAATTAAGTAAATCAACAATTAATTGAATAAACAAAGAAAATTCTTGAATCTAATATTCAATTAAGTAAATCAACAATGGAAAAAACGAGTTAACTGATCGAATGATCGGTTGGGTTCAAAAGTTTATTGATTTTTTTTATAATCCAGAAGATAGAAAAAACAGCGTCTTTTTTTAATGAAGATTCGAATTTAAATTGGAAAACAGTTTTGAACCATCCGGTCTTTATGAACCAAAGAACGTAAAGTGAGGGCTAACGGTCCCGAACCGACCGGTATGAGCCTATATATATATATATATATATGCGTCCATTTCTTTCTCAAACCTCTCGAGCGTGACCGCAATCTACGCCATTCAGCAATAAGATCGTAGTACCACGTGGAACGGATCTAATATGTAATATTAATATATTATGATTCCGACGACAAGAAAATGGGCCTTACTTCTTTAATATCTTTTGGGCCCATAAAATATCTGACCTGGCCCTACGTGGCATATGATGGATTCTATATAATAAACAAACTGACTATAAAATATTAAAATATTAGTACCATATACTCTTCCTGTTTTTTTTAACCTTTATATTTTTAACACAAAAGAAATTTTAGAAATACAGCAACAGTGCGCCGTTTTTACTGGCAACCCATTGCACAAACGAGCCACAGATCGCGAACTGACTCATGAATCGACCTATATTTTTTCGAATCGGATTCAAATATTTTGAGTCCAGAAAAAACCAGATCAAATGAGTCAGTCCGTCACGAGCCGGGTCCATGGAAGTCAATTCGCATGAGTCGGACTGGCTCACGGGTTAGAAAAAAATATTTTTTTAAAATTTTAATATTTTTATATATTTTAAAATATTTTTATATACAAATTATGTTTTTATTACATATATTTAGTTTGTTTTTATTTAAAATTTTATTTTTGTATTATATTTTAAATATTTTTTAAATATTAAAATTAGTTTTAAAATTTTTTTAGTATTAAAATTTATATATTTGGCTCGCGGGTCAGCTCCTTTGATTCGCGGGTTAAGACAATATGAGCCGAACTGATATATTTTTGGCTCGCTAAAAAATGGGCTGGATTGGATTGGGCTAAAATTTTTCCAAATCAGAACGTTCGGGTTGGGCAGGACCGGACCAACCCGTTTTACACCCCTAGTCCATTGAGTTTCTATATTGGTTGCGATATTATCAATGTCTTCTTAGAGATTGATTTATTTACCCACGTATTCACATAAGATATATAAAAGAATTGATATTTTTACGATTTTTTATACAATGGGGAAACATATATATATATATATATATATTATAAACAAGGAGGAAAAGGAGATAGCAACAAACTTCTTATTGAGTTTCAAAACGTTGATTGCTTTGTATCCTTTTATGATATATATATCATAGAACAGAGAGAAATAAGAAAATGCATATTTATGTACAGAAATTAATATTATTACACAACAAATCTCAGTGAAAATTGAAAAAGACACTGATACCCGCTGTTTTTGCAATAATTATGTTTCTGCCATGAAGGCAAAAAATACCCCATACCATACGCCATACGGTTAGGGTTTGACTCCTCCACTCTTATTCAATTTTGGATTTCTAGATATTCGATTTATTAGGTTAGGGTTTCGACGAGTTATGGTTTCGGTGCATGACGACGACCGTATCATGGCTCTGATTTAATTTTATAAAATCGGAAAACATGAAAAACCCAGAATGATATATATATATATATATATATATGTATGTATGTATATGTATAACACGTAATGAATGATAAGTTGATGAAGAATTTGCTGCGACTAATTGGTGGGTTAACCCGACGATTAACGAGGATTGAGTCCAACCTTAGGGTTCACTAGCAAGCGCCGTCCTTATGATTTCTCCGTCCTCGAGCTTTAACTTCGTCGGCAATACAGCTTATGAAATATATAAACTCTATAAGACTACAAATATAAATCTTTCTCCATTGAATTTCACACAAAACAAATTAGACCAATTCATGGTCGTAAAATGCCCATTAGGCTCCATATTTAATGCGTAACGAAAAGGAAATTCAAGAATTTGTGAGATAAAATGTTTTTTAGAATATTTACAAGTAGTGAGAATAATAACACAAAGAGATAGTGAAATTCTAACAACTCCATGCTCGGTAATAAGATGATGATGACACCAATGAAGACATTAACGATCTAAAATTAATTATATATATATATATATGTAAGTATTGACAAAGTAAAACCAAGAAGATGTGAGAATTCTCGGGACAGTTTCACAAGTTTTTGGAATAATAATAAAAGAGAGATTGAAATCTCAACAACTTCGTAGTTGATATTTTATTAAGACATTTAAAATTTTTTAACTATATATATAACCTAAGATGCACGAATAGATTTGTATGATGTACATATTTTACCACGGCGACTTTTTTTTTTTTGCTATCCTTCGGATGCGCTAACTAGGTAAACTTCCGGTCCGAGAACAGCCTTTGTATATGGATCATATAAACCCAGAAATTACCTCCCTTCCCACCAGTCAGGAATCGAACACTCAACCTCAAGATGGATTTACCTCCTACCCTAAACTTGACCACTCGTCCACGATCTGTTGGATTTACCACTGCGACTTGTTTTTAGGTATAACAATTTTCTTGCTGAGTAGACGGCTAAGATTTTACGATCACATTGTGTACGACAGAATTTGATATATATATACTGATTTGTTGGGGACGGCGGTTGTTGACGACGGCAAAACTCCGGCGATTCGAGCGATTCCAGATAAGTACCTGAAATTAAAAGATTATTTTGTCGAGGCCTGTGAAACACAGTTTCCTTAAGTTCGATTTCCGTGCCACCTCTAAAGCTTCGAGGTTATTGGAGCACGGTGAACTCCCAGGATACAACGACCGCGTATTTGGAAGAAGCTTTCCAAATACCAAGCGAACTCAGAGAGAGATATGAGCAAATATGTGAATGCTCTTTTTCCTCTAGAATGCTTGTTTCTTTTTTTTGTGTGTATTTTATGAGCTAACCCAAGACCCCTATTTATAGTAGAGGGGAGAATCTCAAAACAAATCAATTTGAATTTCAAAATTCAAATTTGATTTTATTTTGATATTATCTCAATCTTATCTCAATCATATTTGATAGATTTTCTGCGGATTTGAATCCAATTTCAAATTCAAATAAGAATATTCTCTTCTGCAGATTTAAATTTATACGGACCGGGCTTCTCACGGACTAGACCCGTTTTGATTCTATCAAATAAATGATTAAGGGTAATATATATAATATGAAAGTTTTGGGTGCACAATAATGCTATTTCATATAAAATACATTGGAGCACATACAAGATTATATTGTCGGCTACGTACAAAGTCCACGCGCATGAATTTGTTACATTTTTACATTTGACAAAGTCCAAATGTAATCAATTGTCTTTTTTTTTTGGTAAATAATGTAATCAATTGTCTTTCAAAAACTATATAATATGTAGAAGATTTGTTACAATGGAAACATTCATACAAACTAAATAACAAATCATAGTAGTTGGTGGGGTGATTGCTATATAAGGAGCATCTCTCTTCGTAACATAATAAACCATTCAGAGAGAGAAAAAAAACTTGTTGTTTAAAAAAAAAGAAAGAAAGAAAGAAGTTGATAAAGAAGCCGAGGGGCTCCAATAAGGGCTCCACAGACGTTTTACAAGATGGCCAATACTAATGGCATATGTCTAGTGATGGTCATCTTGGCAGTTTATGCCATGGCTGCTTCTAATGTATCAGCCCAATACACTCACTATCCATCCCCTCCGCCTCCTCCGTATGTTTACAGTTCGCCACCTCCTCCCCCGTATATGTATAAGTCTCCTCCACCTCCTCCGTATGTATACAGTTCGCCACCACCTCCCCCTTACATCTACAAATCTCCACCTCCTCCTCCGTATATGTATAAGTCTCCACCACCCCCTCCTTATATTTACAAATCTCCACCTCCTCCTCCGTATATATATAAGTCTCCACCACCACCACCTTATATTTACAAATCTCCACCTCCTCCTCCATACGTATACAGCTCTCCACCACCGCCTCCTTATGTATATAAATCTCCTCCTCCACCACCATATGTATACAAATCCCCGCCTCCTCCACCATACGTTTACAGTTCTCCACCACCACCTCCGTATGTATACAAATCTCCTCCACCACCACCATACGTCTACAATTCACCACCACCACCTCCATATGTATACAAATCTCCTCCTCCACCCCCATATGTCTATAGTTCACCACCTCCTCCTCCTTATGTTTACAAATCTTCTCCTCCACCTCCATACGTTTATAGCTCTCCACCACCTCCTCCTTACGTTTACAAGTCCCCACCTCCTCCACCATATGTCTACAGTTCACCACCTCCTCCTCCATACGTTTACAAGTCTCCTCCTCCTCCTCCATATGTATACAAATCTCCTCCTCCACCCCCATACATCTATAGCTCACCACCTCCTCCTTACGTTTACAAGTCCCCACCTCCTCCACCATACGTCTACAGCTCACCACCTCCTCCTCCTTACGTTTATAAGTCTCCACCTCCTCCTCCTCCTTATGTCTACAAATCTCCTCCTCCACCGCCATACGTCTATAGTTCTCCACCACATCCTCCATATCTTTATAAATCTCCTCCTCCACCGCCATACGTCTATAGCTCACCACCGCCTCCTCCTTACATGTATAAGTCTCCTCCCCCTCCTCCCTACATTTACAAGTCTCCGCCGCCACCTCCAGTCTATACCTATAGCTCTCCTCCTCCTCCTCCTCCTCCTCCTCCTCCAATTTACTAAACATACATACCCTCCATGTAAGTAAGTAACCTTTCTTTTACTTCTAATGGTTAATATTCACAATCTGACGCTCCTCTCTTGCAGGTCTTTTCCGTTTCAAAGGAATAATGTTTTACCGAACACCGTTTTCGTTATGGACCAAAGCACTGTACTACTTGTCACGTGAATCAAGAACGTTCTTGTCCGTGTGTAATTTATACGTTTACTTCTCGTTTGAGAATTTGTTGTTACTCTCCATTTATACATTACCAATGTTCAAGTCGTGGTGTGTTAAATAAATCCAATAATCTTATATATTGAATTGGTTGAAATAGATCTTCGGCTATATCACTTGTGAACGTTCAACAACAATTGACCACGTGCATGCCATGGAAACAAAAACGACAACTTCTGTCTTGGAAGCGACATACCAACGAAACTTCTCGAGACACTTACTTAATTCCCTCATTTTTTTTTATTTCGTAACCGAGAATATTTAAGTGTGAAAATTACGTATTTGCTAAAGGGGAAGCCTCGTATAAAACTATTTTTCCATGCCCAAAAAGCCTTCTTAAAATTTTGTATCAGAATATTTCTAAACTCTTTGATATTCCAACTATATATATATATATATATATATATATATATATATATAGATATAGATATATGTTTATTCATAGACCTACGTGCAAACAAATTAGCAAGATGTAGAATGATAACAAAGAGAAAGTGAAACTTTAACAACTCCATGCTCGGTAATAAGATGGCGACACCAAAGAAGACAATATTGACAATCTGAATTAATTATCTAATAACCATAACTATATATTAACAAAGTAAATTAAATCAACAAGATGTAAGATTTCTTTGGACAGTTTCACAAGTTTTAGGACAAGAAAAACAAAGAGAGATTGAAATCTCAACAACCTCGTTTACAGCCGAAAAAAAAAATGGAAATGATCATGAAATTGTAATTTTGGTTATTACGTGTTTGGCTTTCCCAAGATGAAAAGAAGTTAACAGGAAGACGAAGATGATAAATAAAATTAATTAAAAGATCTTCAAATGCCTATACATATACATATATATATATATATAATAGCTGATTTAGAAAAAAAATTTATGGGGTATGAATTATATCTTAAAAAATAGTGTATTAACATGATTTTATTAGTTATACAAGTGAAAATTAATATTAGTCTTATATATATAATCAAGGAGCCACTCAGCTCCTTGATTAGTTTTTAATCGAGTAAGTCTACGTGAATGGTTAGTCATTCATATAATATAGTCATCCCTACAACTACAATCATTGTTTATTTTATTTATGAATATTTCATTTGTAACAAATTTACGTTTATATATAGTTTATTGAACTCAATTCAATTACGCATAATTAGATTTAGTCAAGGTATAAATGTAACCCTACATATTCCAAAGTAATTCGTATTGATATCCTGATATGTAGCACGATTAAAATCAAATTAATATATTCTATTTTTTTTATCTTATTATTAATACCCCGATGATAAATTTTTCTAAATGTGTGGTATTAATATCCTGATAACAAAATTTTCTAAATGCATACATTGTTGCAATGGTGAAGCTCTAAATATATATATATCTATATATATATATATATATTCTAAATTTATATGAATTTTATGTTTAAAAATCGTATTCTAGAACTTTTATAATAAGGTTTAGATGTTGTCGTGTGGTGGAAAAGCTACTCATATTTTTTTTTTTTTTTGGTATGAAAAAAGCTACTCATATTAAGGACTCCACCAACATTTCTAACCTAATTTCTTGGATTTCCCATTAGCAATTCAATTATGTTAACAACTCCTAACGATATTGATGTTGCAACTAATAATATTCATATACATCCAAAGCCGTCATTGCACTTATTCATGTGGAAGATTTTAATCAATTTTGATTTATACTATAATGTTTATAAATATTGTGAGAAAGAGAGTAGACATCCTCAAATTAGAATTAATTAAGGCCGCTCT